ATATGATAAGGTTTCTTATTATGCTATTCACAACTGTTACGGATTAAAAACTGGTGGTCAACTTAACACCAGGGAAATCAAATCACCATGGTGCTGAGCATAGACGTTCCACCCGAGGAAGGTTGCCAGCATAAGTAGAGATGTGGAGAAGGAGAATGAAGGTGTTGAGGCATTGTAGGTTCTTAATAAGTTGCTGTTTGAGCCATTGGTTCTCCTGGAAAAGCTTTGGTCCTCCCATCGAGCATCGCTTCCAGGCGCCGGAGGGAAAGATGTGTGCCGCTTAATCTCGAAAATGAACTCATCATGCTGGCTTCTTAGTATGTATTTGAGTGTGCTTATTGTCGGAGGTGCTTGGGGCTTCTCTGTCGCTGAGGATGGCTGTGGTGCTTTTCAGGACAGCCCTGGTCTTTGTTGTGAGTGTGACTTCTCGCCTCCAGTGTAGAACCCTCATCCCACCAGCACAGCTCCTTCACCCGGCTGGCATGGACTTCCTGGCTTCCACCACTGACCTTTGGGCCTTCCCAGTGCAGATCTGGTAAAACAGACTGGTGTGAGTCCTTCTTGTGGACTCTTGACTTCCAGTTGGACTTGTGGGAGGCATTGTTATGAGCCCTGGGTCTTCATCTGGACTCATGTGGGGCATTGCTATAGGATTCAGACCCTTGGCTAAATATTATACATCTTTAGTGTTGTGGACAGATTTCCTGCACTTTCCTGTATTAACCCTGGGTGAATTCCACGTCCTGATTTTAATTGTTCTCACAACCCTGACTACAACAAGTATGCAAAGGTGTTTAAACAGCTTTTTATTGACCATCAGAATGTGTCCATTTGCCAGAGTTTGACCATTTACATTATTCTGTCTGTTGCACTGTTTCCACAGTCTTGGGTTGTGCTTCCAATCTGCCCTGCTTTAGGATTCCTTCTACTGGATTTGTTTCTGTTCACTTATGAATGACCCTTAAATTGTCTTCGTGCCTATTCAACATAAAAGTCTCAGCTTGATCAGTCACTGTGCCCTGTTTCTGTGTCACACTATGGTAGCTGGTACTCCTCCCAGTTCTCTTCTGCAGTTAGCCACTCCTGTTAGAATTGGGTACAGTCAGTGTTGGGTTACAATCATTCCTGAACTGTGTAAATGACTGAAAAACTGACTCTGGCACAGTTCGTGATGGCGGAGCATCGTTATGACTTGTGTCTAGATGACCCCACAAAGCCTCTTGCAGTCAGGTGGGGCTTTTTCAAGGCTGGCTGATACTAGTGTGTGAGTGATTCAGGGTGCAATGCTAGGACTAAGAGTGGGTGATTACTGAGTCAGCCCACTGATTGGTTTGGCACCATCCTAATCCCAGTAGCCTGGACACAGTGTAAGGGATAGAGCTGTGGTTGTCTCTTGCCTGCTTGTTTTTGCTGTCTTCTGCTTGCCATGAACTGGTTCTCTGTGGTGCCCCTCTGCCATGTCACCCTGCCATGGAGCCAGCAAATTATGGACTGAAACCTCTACAAACTGCGAGCTAAATCAACTTTCCTACCTTGTGGGTGTTGGGTATTTTTGTCTCTGCAACAAGTAAAGTAACTAAGACAAGCATAGCAGTAACATGCCACAAAGAACCTATGGAAAATGTTGTTGTGTAGGAGACGCTAAAACTGTAATCACACGCAGGAATAAGAGACCTAGCATCATCCCTGCTGACAGCAGAGAGCATGGCTTCCTCCTGTCAGGAAGGTGGCTTCAGTTTCATACGTGGGCAGCACTTAAAACTGTGTCTGTTCTCTGTCAGGTCTCAGTGCAAATTCTCAACCGGTGCTCAGGGTGCTTCATAAGATTTCCATTCAGGGGGGAACCAGTCATTGCCCCTTCTGTGCATTGCTGGAGGACCAGCCAAGGGCAGTTAGAAACCTCTATTGCTTAGACTCTGACTGAAGCAGCAATTGTCCAATACCAAGGTTGGGAGAACAGAGGCAGCTGTAAAAAGCAAAAGTTACATTGCCTGGATTTTATCAAAAAGCTTTCTCTTAACCTACCTCTGGAGATCCTGTAACCTGAGAAAGTCTTAGGGTATATATGCAAGGCCGCTCAGTCCAGGGAACAGACCCGCCAGAGCAGGTTCACAGGCTTGCCCATCTCTTCCGCCATGCCTCAGGCCCCTGATGGTCCTGGGCAAGAGGGCCCCTGTGGGGGGTCGCCTCCCGTGTCTGCAAGCCACTGTGTCCCAACTTTCTGCATCCTGAATTGTCATTTCTACATTGATCCTAAATCATAAAGTGTTACAATTGCAGGCTCTTTTTCTGGCACAAGGATCATTTCTATAATGTCATCCACCCTCCTGCTTTAACCTCATTCCAAGCTTCTCCACCAGTACCCACATCTGCTTGTAAATGTAATTTTTGTTTTGTTTTGTTTTACTTTTTGCTTTTTTTAGTAATAATGTGTCCATGTTCCTCTTCCCAACTAGAGTATAGAAACTGTGACAAGAAAAGTACCTCTTCATTTGTCACTTTTAACATTTAAAATATTAAGTAGGGCACACAACGTAAAAATAGGTGATTTATCTTTTTACTCAAAAAAATATTTGCAGTCTACCGCATCTCCTGTGTGCCAGGGTTTGTCCAGTGGGCTTAAAATCCATCAACTACCAAGAGTTGTTGCCATATCTGTACTTGGATCCTAAAAGGAAAACATGATTGGCCAAAAGATGTGGAAAAAATTCTAAATGGTGATAAATGCAATGAAGAAAAGGACGACCAGTGACTGGAGAGAGCGAGGGATGGGAAGGAGCCTGTGTGAGGATGCCTCCCAGGCAGGATAGAATTCGTGGCATACAGGACATAATGTGTGCGCATGGGCTGGGTACTGGGTGACTGTTCATAGGAGACCCTCGCTATAGGAGGCCGCGACCAAAGATGGATCTGAGCCTCCTCTTCCCCTTCTGTCCTGGACCCCACAAGCATATGTGGGAGCCTTGGTGATCCAGATGTGGAAAGGCAGCTGTCAGGCACACCACCATCAGGCCTGGGTGAACACGTGGCTGACTTGTGGACTCTGTATGGCCCTCAATCTTCCCACGTGTAAGGTTGGAGTCACAGGGCTTACTTGCTGAGTTATTCCAGTTGAGTAGATCGTGTGCAGGCTAGCTGATGCCGTTTGTCGAACGGAGAGGAGTTAGCTCTGGATGCACAGGGATTCTGGTTAGTGTTACTGCTGGGAATGATCTAGAATGGGCCATCAAATTGACTGTTAAAACTACTTTTGAGAGTCCTCGGAACTAGACTTCTGTTCACTCTAGTATCAAGGGTGCCTTCCTAAACATGACAGATTAACCAGCAGCTTCTCTCAGGTGCCTCTGCTCACAGGAGTGGCTCACACTCTCCAATGTCACCGCAGCTCTCCAGCAGCCAGGCCTCTGCCTTCTCTCTTGCTTTTTCAGGAGCGCTTGGCCCTGATTTTCTGGTTTCACCCCAGCCCTCCAGCCCTGCTTACACATCCAAGTCTGGCCTAAAAGCCAACTGTACAGGGGCTGTTTGGCACACGCAGTACCACCAGCCCTCCCTCCACACTCATGTTTCCACCACAGCCCAGCCTGGCTGCAGCCTGTCCTGCCTGCACGCTTAGCACCTGTGAGCTCCCCTGGGTTCCGGGTCTCCAATCTAATGGGTGGCATGCGTTCCTCTGACCACTGGCATTGTCTACAGCGATGGTGCTGCCGAGAAGCCAGAAGCAGGCTGAGGACAAGTCTCTGGGTTCCTTGTGTGCAGGTGGAGCCAGAGCACCACGGAGCTCAGGGGCGATGCCAGGGCTTCTGTACGTGGTCAAGAAGGGCAGGTGGCCAGTGGCTGTCATAAAAACAACACCCATTTGGCTAGTAGCCTTCAGTGTGCAGAAAAGTTCCACAGGTGTGCATTTTTTACACACTTCTCATGTCCATCTCATAACTCAATGAGGTACTTTTGGAGTAGATTTTTCTCATTTGATAAACAAAGATCACTTGTGTTTCAGTGGAATAGCTCTCATAACCAGCAGCTGAGAAAATACACAGCAGTCACACAAACTCTGACCCACCTGTCCCACCCGCTACTGGCCTTGGGACTCTAGCCCCCCTTCCCCTCATTAGTGTCCTGGCCACACTGTCCAGCCCGAAAACAGGAAATAGTTGCTTCCCATGGCTTCCTTTTGAGGAGCGGTTTTATAGGGGATTGAATCCAGGGCCTTTGCACTGAGTTATATCTTCCGCTCTCTTATTTTTCACTTTGAGACAGTGAAATTTGCCTGGACTGGGCTTGAACTTGCAATCCTCCTGCCTCACCCTCCCAGAGTGTTGGGATTAACAGGCAGGTGCCACCACCCCCATCTCTTACATCTGCCTTCTTTCTGCCTGAGGAGTACTTTGTTGTATTCAGGATTCATTCAGCAAACAGGAAAACAGTGATAGCTGTGCCCTTTGGGAAGTCCACACTTTAAGTAGTAAAGTCAGAAGAAGGATAAATACAAGGGTCCCTTGGTATTCACAAAGATTAGTTCCAGAACAGCCCTGGGTTCTAAACTCCACGATGCTCAAATGCCTTATAAAATGGTAGAGTATCTCTATTGGATATACACATGTCCTCCTGTGTAAATCATCTCTAAGTTACTTAATAGCAATATGACATAAATGCTGTGTAAGTAACTGGTGTGCTGCCTGGATAAGACAAGGCAGAAACAAGTGTCTACATATTCGGTGTGCATGTGTTTTCTAGCTCTGGTAGACTCGGCTGTAGAGCCAGCAGCTGCGTAACCCCGTGTTTGCACTCCACCCGCCTTCCAGAGAGGCCGAGTTAAAGTTCTACTGATGAGGAATTTTGCAGGGTTGCACACTGTGCTAAATCTAAGTTCTGGTTTACTCTTGTCCTTGACTTTGAACAAGGTCAGCATTCTTGGTTCACAGAGTCAAACCAGCCAGTGTTATTCGAGCAGGATTTTTATCTGAGCTGTTTACTTCCAATTTCTCCTCTTAACCTTTCAGCAAAGGAACTTCCTCAGAGGCTTCGCCTCAAGTCTTGTGCTGGTTCTGCAGTTATTCTCTTGGCCGCAACCTTCAAATGAACTTCAGGATCCAGGGATGTGTAAGTTGGGAATTTAATGTGGAAATTCAATAAAAGGCTTAGAGCAATCTAGAAATAGGGTTTCTCAGCCTAAGCAAAATATTTTGGGCTTTGGTACCAGTAGTGAAGTGACATTCCAACAGTTAAAGGCTATCAAAAGTTGACTGGCTGGGTGTAGTGGTACATGCCTGTAATCCCAGCACTCTGGAGGCTGAGGCAGGAAGATTGCCATGAGTTGGAGGCCAACCTGGGCTACATAACAAGTTCAAGATCAGCCTGAACAACATAGCGAGACCCTGTCTCAAAAACAGAAAAAAAGGGCTTGGGGATTTAGCTCAGCGGCATAAGCGCCTGCCTTGTAAGTAGGCAGTCGTGAGTTCGATCCCTGCTACCGATAAAAATGAAAAAGACAAAAAAAAAAAAAAACAAAAACAGAAAAAAAGTTGACTGCGTGCCCAGCATTCTTCACGTGGACATGTACTTTTGTTTCTCACATCGAACTTATGAGTGGGGACTGCAGTGTTCACAGACACATGGAGGTTGACCTCCAGAGTTGGGTAGGGAGCCTCGGGCTCAAAACCCACCGTGCTGTACTCAGTTCTGTGTTTTACCTAGTAGTCACAAGGAGGCTGTTTCTTACTGATACTGGGGAGAGAAACTCCTGACCTACTACCTGTCCAGTATTTGTTCGCATTCTCTAAAATCAAAGAATGAATTTTAGGCATAATGGAAGTTAAGAGTGGAATATGTTTATTGAGAGAAAGAAAACTTCTGAGAGACAGACGGGGTCCCGAGTGGATTGCCAGGGACTCTGTCTTTTCTAGGGATTTTTATAGAGTAAAATAATGAGGTTAGAAGGGTCAAACATGGAGGGAAAATGGGAATTTGCAAGGAGGACATAAGGCGGGACAGAACTGTAGTCAACCAATAAGGTTACTTGCTTAGGTAAAATTGATTAAATTAGGAGCCAATGGGAGAGCGAGTCATGTAGTAAGTGGGCGTGCTTAACAGCAGGCACCCTTCCTGTAGGGGGTGGGATGCTGACTCCTGGTTTCCTCAGAGTGACAGAGAACTATTTGGACTGTGGCTCCTTAGGACTTGGTTCTATTTGCTTTGCCTTTTGTCTGCAGATCTGGCCCACAGCAGGTGATTGTCTCTTCCAAGGCTGCAAGGTATCTGAACTTCTGCTCTGGCTCCCAGCCCTGTCTGCCTGCCTGTAATATTTCTAACTCGATCAGCTGCCTGTAATGTGGAGCCCCTGACAGGAGTCTGCAGTCCACTTGAGGATTTACAGCCTGCCTTTGCTTTTGTCTGCCTGTTGCACCTCTGCCTCCCTATTTGCCACCACCTGATGTTTAGGCAGCCGAGGAAAAACAACTAATAATTCCCATGGGCAGACGCTGCAGATGAAGCAGCCCCTCGTGGAAAGGTGCTGCCTCGCGAATTTCTGACCTGCCTCAGCCCTTAATTTGTGTACTGCTGCTTCATGATAAAAACAGTGTCCAGTGAACTATTATTTTCACACGCTTAAAGATGAGACTTCCTGCTTCTAAGAAGTAAATGCAGGAGAGGGAGTCTTAGAAATGCCAGTACCACAGGATGTGGAGGCGCAGGACTGATCACTGTGAGTTCAAGGCCAGACTGGACTACGTAGTGAGACCTTATCTCAAAAGGACAAAAAAAAAGTCCAGTACATTTGACAAGAATGTCCACACCCAGCTGTGCACACAAGCCAGCCTTTCTGGTAAAGAAAAGTCAGTGCCTCCTGTGAGCCTACTGGCACTGGCTGAGAACCAACCCCCACCCTCCAGCAACCGATGTTTCAGAGGACAGGCTGAGCTGATAGCAACTGAGGTACGTAAAGCAACTAAATGCTTGTATTGTTTGGTTGATTTTGCAGGCCTGGGGCCAGCAGTCTGAGCATCTCTTGGGAGGATGACAGTATGCAATACAGCAAATACGCGGAATTTCCTTCTGTCTTGTCTTTGAAACCCAGTATTGTTCACACTGTCTTGCTTTGTTCTGATTGTTTTTGCTTTATTCAGTATTCTGTTTTGACTGGTTTGCTTCTGTTTTGGTTTTGGTTTGATGTTGCTATACCTGGTGGAATGGACAACTCTTACGAAGATAACAAGATATACTATGGTAGCTATTGTTTTCCCAGTGTCCTGCTTTGAAGTTCTGTACCAGTTTTGCTGCTTTGATTAGCTCTGTTCTGTTCTGTTTGGTTGGATTTTTACTATCTTTAAAAAAAAAAAAAAAAAAAAAAAGACCAGGTGTGCCAGCCCACCGCGGGTCCCTGCAGGTCAGATGGCCCTGAGAGAAGCTGCTGTCGCAGGCATGCCAATGTCTCCCCACCGTGTAAACATGGGTTGGGCACAGTCAGCTCAGCGCACCCACAAGGCCTTCCCTTGGGTGAATGAGGTAGTGACCAGATAGCTAAATGACTTCGTAGTTCAATATAAACAAACTCCGAGGTTACAAGAGAAATCTCCACACTGGTTTTCTCTGCCCCCACCAAACGTGTGCTCTGAGGCCGCATCTCCTTGTTCTGTGTTCTTCTTCCATGTCCTTCACTTGTCTTCTCTTGCTTTCTTGCCTGCTTCTTACCTGCTTCTTCCAGCCTGGAAAGTAGTTTTTAACCACACCTTCTTTCATTTTTAAAATCTTTTTCCTGTGCTCTTGTCTGTTGGGTGCTGGCTGAGTGTTAGACTGAATTCTGTGCCTGAGTGCGCTTTCTTACCCCTGGCAGGCAGAGCCCCCTGGCTCTGAGTGCCAGTGGGGACCCTGTCTGCCTCTGGTTTCTCTTTCCCTGTACTGTAGCTGTCACCTGCAAAGCCTTCCATCCCTATGGCCACTCTTCGGGCACCTTGAGGACAGGCCTAGGGCTCTGCATGCTTAGCCTTCTGCAGGCCTGTAGTGGAGAAGGTGCCCAGGCTGTGTCTCACCTCGATAGCTGATGCACCAGCTCCCAGCTGCTCAAGTCAGGATCCCAGGAGCTGTCTCTGGGCCCTGCCCATCCTGGGTGGTCCTTTGTCCCAACAGGCCCATCTCTGTGTCCAGGATGGCTTCCTCCATCCTCACTCACCCAGGCAGATGCCAGAATTCTACCCATTTACAGCACAAAGAAAAGAAAAGAAAAGAAAGAAAGCAGGGAAGACAGCGTGTACACTGTTGACACAGGCAGGTGCACCTCACAGGGAGGCCAGAGAGACGCCAGCCACCAGCTTGTCCTCCCGTCTCAGCTCAGCTCCCACCAGCCTCAATAAAGAACTATGCATGCTGAACCCCTCATACAGAAATGTATATGCATCCAGAAATGTGACTAGAGAAATGTGTCTGGTGACCTAGCGAGGCATGCATGAGACAGGACCACCAGGATAGGGCAGTGATGGGACAGAAGACCACAAGGAGAAACCTCCAAGTACAGCAGACTTTATTATCCTCAGTGGAATGGCATGTTTCAGCACACCTGCCGTGAGCTCCTGATTAAACCACAGAAGCAAATGTTAGCCTAAAGTGAGATACTGTTGCCAAGAAAAAACCCTGAATAAGTCCTCTAGCCTCACTGGCTCTTAGTCACCTTAAAAGCACTTATTTGGGAGGTCACACAGCTGGCAACACGTGGTGAGTTTCCCAGTAGCTTTGCTGTAGGTAGGTTGCTCCTCTGACATGTAGGTCCTAACAGTTGCCCCGGGTTACCTCCTGGGGACTTAAAGATTGTGACTGTCTGCTTGGACTGATGGGCGATGGGTGACTAACCTGAGACTGAAAGCTTGGCACTGCTCTCATTATATTGTGTGCCTCTCTTTTGCTGTGGGTCAGGTCGTACTCAGCTGTGTATGTAGACATGCTGATCATTTAACAAGGCGTAGCCCAAGACTCATGGGTACAGATTAACTCGGCCCATTACTCGTTGGAGCTGTTGTGTTTTGTCTTCTCTTTTCTTCCCTCCTCTCTCCTGCCCTTCCCTCCTTTCCTCTCTCCCTTCCCTTCTCTCTCAACTCCCCCATCCCCCCTTCTCCTTGGCCCCCATCCATGTACCTCTTCAGCAAACATAGCAGCCAAGTCCCTCAAGTCCGTCACCCTGACCACAGTTGCCCGCTCTCTTCTCCCACAGTGCCAGCTCAGACGAGCCCTTTGTATGGGACACTAGGTCTGCTCATGATATTAGATCCAGTCTGGTTTCTACCAATGGAAATGTGACCGGATATGCGTCATTCCTTGCTAAGCCTTAACTTTGTACTTTGGGAGATGGGGTTTAGACTGGTTGTGGAATTTTGTTTATCGTGGTACTTGGCTTCTGGCTGTCATAGCCAAGTAAGATCCCTCTCACAAAGTCGTCACTCCCCACGAAATGAGAACCTTGCGGAGAGGCTCACCAGTCATGCTTATTTCTTGTGTCCGCCTACTAATTACACAAAAGTGTTTTGGGTTTGTTTGTGTGCTCCTACATTAGATTGCTTGCTTTGTGCTGTTTTCCAGTACTAGGAATTGAACTCAAGCAGCCCTTTTTGAAAACAGTCTTGCTGAGTTGCCAGGCTGACCTTAAACTATTACCCTCTTGCCTCAGTCTCATAAGTAGCTGAGACTACAGGTACCCCCACCTGGTTCAAAGTTTTTAATTTAAATTTGGCTAGTACACATCCATCTTCTATGCTATCATTCAGTTCATACGTACTAGTAATCAATAATAATTTTCGACAAATGTAAGGAGATTGGTAGGTTTTCACGTAAGTAAAGAGAAAACTCAGTTTCACCATTTAAGTGTGCATTTGTAGTTTTTATAAATTACAATTGTAGATCTAATCTTTTTGACAACAAAAATGCCACAAGAACCACGAATTTCCAAACATCCCATTTTCCAAATGCTTTTCTAGTAACATACATTTCCTCTGAAGAAAAACACTATGTTCTCATTCACTGTCAAAACAATCTTTTCCTTAAAAAGGCAGACTTGTAGGGTACGGCAGTGCTGGGCGGCCTGTGACTGTCAACTCTTCTGAGCTCACCAGTGTCTGGCATGGTGGCTGACACACACGATTCCTCCCAGAACAGGCATACAGTGTTCCCCCACGTTGTCTGTGTTCACTGTGCTTCCACGACTAACGCCATCCATCTGCAATTTCTTTACAGCTGCCCTTTTAAAGCCACCTGTCTACTTCCTCAAGGTTTAATTTATTAGGTTGTTTTGGCGCCGTAAAGAAACAAAGGCAGAAAAGGCCTTTATTGCAGGCAGGGAAGCACTGTAGCAGAGTGCAAGATCCAGATCCCTCGGAGGCAGATAAAGAAGTCCGGGGCTTTTATTAGGTTTCACAGGGGGTGGAGTTTGAAGGGGCGGGCAGAGTGACGTAACGACAGCTGATTGGGGAGACGCTGGCGCATGCGCAAAAAGCAGGAAGTGCCTTTTAGGCTTGGTAGAGGAATGGGAATAAGAATTGGAGGTGCGCGCTGTCGATTTAGGGTCCCGCGCCGTGTCAGGCAGGAGCCACGCTGGGCCTGAGAGAGTTTCATACCAGGGGAACCCATCATAGTTAACATAAAATAATGAAACCCTTAAGCCCAGGCATTTGTGAAGTATAGTTTATCACACATGCTGGAAGCAAATGTGGATGTGAGGGTTCCCTGAGGGCTCTTTTTGAGGCGCACCCTCTCTGGGGATGGCTAGACTCCCCTCCCCCAGGATGCAGGAATTTCACATTCACAGTGAGCAAGGCTGCCAGCTTCGATCCTAGTTTTAACTATCTTTAACTTTAATTGGTCTTAGGAAAAGATAAGAGCGTGTTAGAGTTCTAATATTTTCTTCCAGAACCCCAGGCACTGCTGAGGACTCCCAACCCCGAGGAACCACAGAGGATCAGGACTGCTCTGGGGTGAGGGTGTTTGCTTTACCCTCAACCCACGCCCACCCTGGCTTCCAGTGATAGCAAGGGCCCATTGTAGACCTTTGAAATCACATATCTGGCTGTGTCAGTCTGTGGCCCTGAAATCACCGCTAGGTCCTCATGGCCACCTGAATAAAGGCCAAATTCTGTGCCTGACTTTTAGGGACTGTCTCAGCCGTGGGAGTCAACCTACCTTGAGGCTTCTCCCCTCCCATCGCCCTGCCTGGGACTCCCCCTGCCCTCCTCACATCTGCCCCTGCTGTATCTTCTTCAGACAGCCCAAGCTTGGCCCTGAAATTTTCCCTGATTTCTCCAGGGCAGAATAAAATATTCCTTCATTTCGGCATCTTAGCATTTTAATCACCACCACCCCTGTCAAAGTGCCAGAGGCCAAATGAATCCGGTTGCTCACGCCTGTTCCTGTGCACTGCCTTCTTTATTTATGGGTCCCCTTACCAAGAGTGTTTATGACACATGCCTCGATTTTGAATGAAAGTAGGTGTGCTCTCTCCTGAATGGGAGTCCTCACACTCTTGGGTCACCTGCCAGAGTCACAATGACAATGGTGTAAAATGTTCCCTACGTTGGGGTGGTTCATTGTCACTGCTCTGGGTCACTCACTAGACATCCTCTGCTGCTGTCAGAAGTTTCCCTGTCTGACAGAACTGTGACCAGTGGAGGACTGCTCTGGTCACACGCTATGACCTAAGTATTGTGGAAGAAGAGAGTAAATAGGGTATGGATTACTTGTTCCCTGTGGACCAGAATGACTGAACATCAGACCCCACAAGTTGGGGAAATGACCAATGGTCAGTACCTAGGTGACCCGTGTCACATTCTAGTCCCCTCTGATGGTCAGATGGAGGGATCACAAGGCTTGCCAGTGTTTGTTGACATTGGTTCCCTGTCTGAGTGTCAGGTTGGGATCACAGGCCACCAAAAGCTTATGCAGAAGAGGGGTGAGCATCT